CTAAAGCTTAAGCTCCTCCCAAGGTGACGGCGTCCGCTAAATCTTAAGCTCCTCCCGAGGTGACGGCGTCCACTAAAGCTCCTCCCGAGGTGACGGCGTCCGCTAAAGCTTAAGCTCCTCCCGAGGTGAAGACATCCACTAAAGCTCCTCCCGAGGTGACGGCGTCCACTAAAGCTCCTTCCGAGGTGACGGCATCCACTAAAGCTTAAGCTCCTCCCGAGGTGACGACGTCGAATTAAGCTCCTCCCAATGTGACGGCGTCCACTAAAGCTCCTCCCGAGGCGATGCCATCTGTTAAAGCTCCTGCCGAGGTGCGACTGCATCCGCTAAAGCTTGGTGACGAGGCGATGTTGACTGCTAAAGCTCCTCCCGAGGTGACGGCATCCACTAAAGATTAAGCTCCTCCCGAGGTGATGGCGTCGAATTAAGCTCCTCCCGAGGTGACGGCGTCCACTAAAGCTCCTCCCGAGGCGATGCCATCTGTTAAAGCACTTGCCGAGGTGCGACTGCGTCCGCTAAAGCTTGGTGACGAGGCGATGTCAACTGCTAAAGCTCCTCCCGAGGTGACGGCATCCACTAAAGCTCCTCCCGAGGCTTCTGCTACATCCACTACGCCCTGGCTCCCTGATATGCCTCCATCTCCAGTCCTGATTCTCCACGGGCCTGGCCCCCGATCCCTCCCCCTGATCAACCTCCACTCCATCACCCTCCTATACTTTTGTTTGTTCTTGGAGCATCTGGAATCCGTTCATGTGGGGGCCTCTATCATGATCTCTGTGTTTAGGCTTGTTCGACTTCATGCAGCTCTGCGCAGACCGATCGGCGGCTGACTTGAAACAGTGCATGCGGGTTAGAAATTTTGTCCGACTTGATGCAGCGCTGACTCCACGTGACTGTGACGTATGCCATCAAAGTACCGCGAGAGCGATACGAGAGTAGCCGAAGGACTCAGCCAGCGCAGCTTCTCAAGAGCGGCTGCAGGAGCTCTGATGATGTCACAGCTGTTCCACGATTCGCCGGATTTACCGCATGACAACGATCACGTGCGTTTCGTGTTTATTCTCACACCTTAGTTCCACTAAAGCTCATCAGTATTTTATAACAGTAAACACTCTTTTCATGTAGTCGCAATGTTATATTGTGTAATGTTTATCATGTTTATCAAAATAAAACTGATTAAAAAACGTTGACTCCACGTCATTGAAGGCTTATTTTGAACTTTATTCTAGTTCAAACAGATGCTGTATGAAGCAGTAAATTGTTGAATGAAAATGTGTCTGAAATATCTGTTTATTTGGCAAATGTTGCATTTATTTCACTTAAGCTGTGGTAAAGCATGCAAACACCACGTGAGCCGTCAGTACGGGAACCAGCAATTGTCCGACTTTACGTCTCCGTTTGCAGCTCCTCCCCGCCGGCACGCGGCTAATCTCGCCGATCGTTGCATCCAGCCGCAGCCGATGTCGAACACACCTTTTGTCTTTGGACTTTTGTTTCACTTCCTGTTCTAATGTGCCATAGTTGTAGTTTTGTAGTTTTTAACCATGATTTGTCCTTGATTGTTCTCACAGTTGCTTCATGTTCCAACCTGTCATATGATTTGTTCCTGAATGAATCAGCTGTCTGAACAAATCAATTGAATGAATGACTCAGTGATTCACTCGTTAACAGTGACTTGCCTCTTCTGTGCCACCACCTCTGCATTGGAAAGGCATATTTGTTGATACTGAATTCATTATATTGGTAACAGCCCAGTAGTGTCTTATTGTCCTAATTGAAGTTATTGATTAAATATAAGAATTTGACATACAAGATGACAGACATTCAATTAAAATGAGCATTCAGGTTAGAAAAAAAAATTCAAAATCAAAATCTATTTAAAATTATTGGAAAAGTCACTTCTTCTAACAAACTACTGCAGACAATATGAAGAATATAAAAAGTCTCCTGTCCTAAGCTTGTCAATTTACCATCACAATAACACACTAAATAAACATTGTCTATCATTAACAAAAATGCCAGAAAATATCGGGATCATTTTTGTCAGTATCACACAGCACACCCCTATGGGAGTGTAAGATGGGTTTCAAACTAGTTGTGTTAATTTTCTCTTGTTCATTTCATTAAACTGCAAAAGGCAAACATATTTCACAATAGTATGACTCTGAGCTTTCCTCCTATGTGCAGCTTTTTGAATAATCTATATAATTATGAGTGCATTCATATCAGGAAATATGCGCGACTGACAGCAGCTGATCTCTGGAGGCGAAAGGGAGCCGCTGGGGTCAGATTACCTCAATGTTCATGAGAAAACATGAGTCTGACTTAACCGTGAGACCGTCATTCTCCATTCACTCACACATTCGGTCACAGCCTTATAGGACACATTTCTGATACACATTGCCAATGCAATTTCTAATACACAGAACCAAGCATGAATCGCAAGCATAATATTTTGGCTTCTAGGTCACAGTTTTGACTGATACTTACGTCAAGCAACAGTGTAATTTTATACATTCAAACAGGGTCTTGTTAAAAGCGGAAGTGGTGAAACAAGACTTGGCGGCCACATTCTATTTCTCAACCATTCCAGCTGTCATCCTTCATCTCAAAAACAGCCATTAAATCATCATAAATATACTTCAATTGCCTCAAGTAATTATCTAAAATGGACTGATGTTTGACTGATGTAATGCTGACTTGGAAGAAATGCAGAAATGAGATCAAGCATTCTTTGAATATTTATGGCACTTTCCACAAACAGGGTACCTTTTTTTAAATATCTTCAAATACTGCATGAGCTGTTTTATTTTATATTAATTTTACATTTATATTTAGGCTATGCATTGGCAGATGTTTTTATCCGAAGTGACAAATTGCATTCAAGCTAATAATTTCTTCAATTCAACGCCTGGGAATCAAACCCATGACCTTGGCCAGAGATGGGAGATAGCAGGGTCCACGGCTCTACCATTGGAGAAAGCGTAATGTCATCTTGGATCACTTGTGTCTTGATAATCAATCACATTACAGCCTTGACGTCACTAGAGCTATGCGACAGTCAATCACTGTTTGGGTATTTTTAATCCAATCGCTATAAAACTCTGCTAACCCTGTTAGCGCTGTTAACCCTGTAATGCGGTGCCAAACTTGTACAGTTTGAAATGATGGGGTGTTAGAATGTTACATCCAGATGCTTAGCAATCAACAACCAATCACATGCCTCATATTCACCTGATTTTGACAGTCACGGAAACACTGCACATTGTACATAAAAGCAACTTCAGAGAAAAAAAAATGTAAAATGCTGACAGAAAACTTAACAATTGGAGTGATGAAGAGACCTTTCATTCATACCTTTATAGTCAGAAACGTCCATTAGGTATAAAGTTGATAGTAAAGTTGCCACTATATAATACAAGGATACGCAATGCTAAATGTAAACATCTTGCGTGCAGTGTTTGTGCAACCAGTAACACTGACACCACAAATATGCAAATAAGGATGTTAACCCTGTATTCAGTGCGAAATTACATTTTATTAAATCCCAGGATCACTGTTAACCCCAGATAAATTATGATCATTGTGAAACATGAAGTAAAAATAACCCCGGATGGAATTTACCCGGGGTTTAGAATGACATACACTATTTCAAGTGTGAAAAGCCCCAATAAGGGCTCTTATGAATTTGTGAAAATAGTTATGATTTGTCATGAGTCGGTTGGAAGGCCTCAAGTCCAAGACTCTTTAAGGGCAAATATATGATGTTTTATAAACTTGCTTCTTATTCTGTGTTAAAAGAACATAAGACAATCATTTACTTAAAATAATGATAATAGTTCTCCCAATAAAAAAAAAGTTAGGGGTTGGTGTGTCTAAGGCTTTAAAAAATGTCATCAGACAAAAGTGTCCTGTATTCTCAGTGTAAACTCAGAACAACTAGCTGAACTTGAACTAGTTTGATGTGATTTTTGAAACATCTTTTGAATTATCCTGCAGTGACCATGTCCCTCCATATATCTTCCTTTGTGTGTGTTGTATTTTGCTGTGTCTTTTCCCTGTCAACTCTTGCCACACATATTTGTGCAATAATCTTTCTAAGAGCAGGATTCTGTCTGTGACAGATCTTGGAGATGTATTCTCTCTCTGTGCGATCAGTCTAGGAAATGTAATCTCTCAGCCGAAACTAGGCCATGGCGTGATTTCACATTTGTTACACCGCCAATAGCACACGGCCTGTCACAAAGAGCATCCATTTATTATGCTGTCCCTCAGGCACTTCTGTTTTAACAGATCACCTTTAGAGCTCATCTACTCCCCTTGAAAGCACATATTTCATTATGAATTGTTTTAGGGGTCACATCATATTAAGGACCCTTTTATCCATATATTGTTTGCTGGGATGCTTTTAATAATGGATGGCATGATACATTGAAATGGTGTCAGACTGAAGAACGAGGTGTTATGCAAGGAAGTGAAAAAAAAAAGACTGGTAGGGATTTTGGTATGGTTAACTGAGTGTTTGACTAAAACGGATTGAATTTTAAAATGTAGCATCTTTAAAAATAAACTTAATGTATTATTCTTTTTTACATTGTATTATTTTTAGCATTTGAAGAAAACACCATTAATTACATTTATACGTTTTATCCATTTTTTAAAAAAATAAGAAGATAAAAATTGCATGAGATGTGAGACATGAAATATAACCCTCTTCTCTGAGGTGAATATATCTGCTGTGCTCGTCACAACAAGTCGTTATCATGTTCACGTCTGTCAACTGTCATTCTGACTGTCATCAGACAACTGGAGTTTCGGTCCATAGATATTTATCTTGGTGAAGAAGTAGATACTTTTTTGAGATTTCTAGGAGTTTTATTAATCTTGATTTCTCACAACTTGCAAGAGTGTCTATTCTAATACCACATCTATTTCTATTACCAGATTTAAAAAAAATAAAAATAAAAATCTCCATTTGTGGTACGAAAAGGAAAGAACGGCATTAGAACACCAGGGCGTGTAAATGACTTCATGACTTCACACAAAAAGGTGGGGCCAGTGAAAATGTGTATGGTAAAAATACTGACCCAACTGGGTCTTATTGTTGAGCCCAGCTGTATATATTATGAACCGTTTTTCGAAAGGGGTTTGTTGCATTTAGTACATTGGAATGAGTTGGAGTAAAGCACCTGTTGGTCTGAGCCAGTTATTTTCCACCATGACAGTAAATAAACAGTCCACCTGCTATCAGTTAGCTCAGTGGTTGAGGCTTGGGAAAAGAGAGAGTAAAATGGGCGGTACCTTTTGCTTCAGGGAAGGACATACATCTCACATCTGTTTCCGTTTCACACCCAGCTTGCCTCTGCTTGTGTGCGTATGTTTCTATTTGAGAACTAATGTGTTTTTGGGCTTTATGGGGCTGGATCACCTCCTTGGCAGACCTGAATCTATGGTTGCAGAGAGAAGCAGATGACAAAGGAGTGCATGATGGGACAGGTTTACCATGGAGAAGGTTAGATTTTAGATAAATATATACCAAGATCTAAGGGTACATGTGTATATGAGAAAGCAGAAGTGTGTATCAAATGTACATTGTAGTGCTAACAGAGGCTGACTGTGATAATTACCATGTCTGTTAATTTTTTGCTTGAGTGTACTTAGTTATTTAAAAGCAATTGGTGAGATTTTTTGAGTTTGTGATGCGTGCTCATGTACATTTGTTCATTCTGCATGTGTAATTCAAGTATTTTTGTTTGTTGAAAAGCAAGTCAACAAGTCAAAGTCAAAAATAAATCAAAATGGACCCTGTTACTTTCATAATAAGGTTACTAAAACAGTTTTTCTTTGTACAAAACAACTGATTTTGTCTCACATAATCAAGGCCATGTAGCTACAGTAACCTATTTTTACAGTAGACTTTATTTTAGGGGACAGCTGTACGTAAAGCAGCCTTTTTCTTACATTTTATTCCAGTTAACATTAATGTAACTCAAGTTACAGCATTAATAACAAATAACGACAGAAGTTTAATCATTGGGATGCATTTAGGAGCTCTTGTTGTGGAACTTTACCTTCGGCTTGCGTGCCCTTGTCAAAAAGTCTCCTCAAAAGTGGGTGCCAGCAGTGTTTCATTCAGGTCTGAAATCTGATCCTGGAATGCAATGCCCACTTCTCACAATCCAATCAATTCCTTTTGGACAAAATAAAGTCTTAGATTTTTTTTCTCATTGTATATTCTGATTTACTCAGAAACGTCACATTTACAAAAGGTAAAACTTGTAATATTACATGTATCATAGCATTAAGTTAAGAAAGTGAGGAACTGTAAAGTGATTCATGTTTAATTTGTGAGAGCATCATCCAGTAAAGAAGGTTTAACATCTCTCTATGATGGAAACTTCTTAGCATTCCCCTTTTACTTGCCCTCCTTTCTGTTTCATGATTACTAATGTCTCTTTTATTTTTACCTGCAGGAACGTGGGCCTTTAGCTGCCTCACTGGCGTATACAAGGAGGACGATCTAGTACGCAGTCGCCTAAAACAATCCACAAGAACAAAGGTCTGACATTCCATCGGTCGTATAGTGTCTGAAGAAAATTAAAGGAGGTAGGAGTTCTCTACAGATGAATCAGTCACAGAAACACAGGGAAGCACACTGGACGCCATGACGGAGGAGAGTGAAGGAATTTTACGATTTCGACTTTCTCTCGATGAACATTGACAAGTCCACTTAAAGCCCGCCGTGCTCAGGGGAGAGAGTCCCCTGATATGAACCCCAAGTCCTTGGGATCTCAAAGGCAAATGCCCTTATGCCAGGGCCTGAGTTGGTCTTCCACCATGTCATGGTAGCATTGTATGCCAAAAATCAACCCTTGGAAAAAAAAAATCATAAACTGTAGACTTGAATAATGCAAGTTGTCTAACACCAATCTGACAGAAAAAAGCTTCCTCTAGTCTCTGCTCAACTATATCAACACATATTGTTTACATTGCATACTTTTTATAGCTAACTCTCTCACTCCCTGGGATTACCGACTCAAGTCCAGGTACAGTTAACCATGGGGTGCCGGCAGAGTTCGGAGGAGAAAGAGGCCGCCCGACGCTCACGGCGCATCGATCGACATCTCCGCTCAGAAAGCCAGCGGCAGCGGCGTGAGATCAAACTTCTGCTGCTCGGCACTAGCAACTCTGGCAAGAGCACCATTGTGAAGCAGATGAAGATCATCCACAGTGGGGGATTCAACCTGGAGGCATGCAAGGAATACAAGCCTCTCATCCTCTACAACGCCATCGACTCACTCACACGCATCATCCGTGCCCTCGCCACCTTGAAGATCGACTTCCACAACCCAGATCGAGCTTACGACGCAGTGCAACTCTTTGCCCTGACCGGGCCTGCTGAGAGCAAGGGGGAGATCACACCAGAGCTCCAGGGCGTGATGAAGCGCTTGTGGGCCGATCCAGGGGTCCAGGAGTGTTTCTGCCGCTCCAATGAGTACCATCTAGAGGACAATACTGCCTATTATCTCAACGACCTGGACCGCATTTCTGCGCCAGAGTTCATCCCAACCGTTGAGGACATTCTGCGCTCTCGTGACATGACCACTGGCATTGTTGAGAACAAATTCACCTTCAAGGAGCTCACCTTCAAAATGGTGGATGTGGGTGGCCAGCGTTCAGAAAGGAAGAAGTGGATCCACTGTTTTGAGGGTGTGACTGCCATTATATTCTGTGTGGAGCTCAGTGGCTATGACCTCAAGCTTTATGAAGACAACCAGACGGTAAGGATAGCCCAATTTTGTATTCGGGTCATTGGTGCAGCGAGATAATGCAAGAACAGATGAAACCAATGTTATCTGCAATGGGCTACATACATATTTACAATAAATTCATTCTGTCCGTAGCACTGACAGACAAGTGCTTTTAATCATCTCACTTCCACATTTCCTGTAGCACAGAAACTTTCAGTTACATTGAAGCTATTTAGAGAACTAACCCTGCTCAAGAACATTATAGCTTGTTGTGTTTTAAACACTGATATTCTTACCAGTTGGGGACTAAACTAGCTTAACTATGATGGGGACCCTCAAACATCAAGGCATGATGGGGACACTATACTGCCAAAAGAGCACCATCCTTGTGATCGCTAAAAATCCCAGGATGTCCTTCGGAAAAAAAAAGAGTAGGGGTTTTACCCCGGCATTCTGGCCAAATTTGTCCAATGGCCTCTGTCCATCATGGCCTCATCAATCATCCCCACATATACTGATTGGCTTTATCTCTCTTTCTTATCTCCACCAATAAGCTGGTGTGTGGTGGGCGTTCTGGGGCAATATGGCTGCCGTCGCATCATCCAGGTGGATGCTGCACATTGGTGGTGGTTGAGGAGATTCTCCCTTCCATTTGTGAAGCCCTTTTTAGTACCCAGAAAATCGCTATATAAATGTAACTAATTATTTTATTATTATTAAGACTACTTTGGTCATCTAGCTTCATCAGAAAGACAAGTGGCAAACCTTGCCAATGCTATGTGGTTTACCAACTTAACCAGTTTCCTGTTCAGCGACATAACTCCCTGGCTAACTACCATAGTATGATGCATAGCTGCTGCACAGAAGAAGAAGAAGAAGAAAAAGAAGAAGTAGTTTTATTTACAGTATATAGTGCCTTTTCGTGGCTCAAGGTCGCTTTACATTGTAATTTATGATACATTTATACAATTACACAAACATTACAGCATGAATTAAGGTTTCACCGTCAGCTAAATTTTTTTATGTATATGAGGGCCAAAAGATAGAGTTGAGTCGAATAAGACACCAAGGCTGCGAATCAATGACGAAGGCTTAACATTAACCATCAATACAAAAGGACTGGTCCATCATTTTGACCGAGGCAGCAGAGCCGATCACTAATATCTCCATTTTTTTATCATTTAATTTGAAGAAATAAAGGGACATCCAGTGCTTGATGTCTCTGATACCTGTAGTAAGCGAGTCAGGCAGGGATGTGCCTTAGAGCTGGTGGGGAGATAAATTTGAATGTCATCAGCATAGCAATGTAATTGAAGTCCATGTGTGCCTATGATGTTACCAAGTGGATGTATGTAGATGATGAACAATAGTGGACCAAGAACTGAACCTTGAGGAACACCCTGTGTAAGTGAAGCACTGATACAACTATGACCTAGTATGCTGATATAATACTTTCTGTCGCTGATATAGTAAATGAGCCAGGAAAGAGCGGAACCAGTAATGCCAATATCAGAAAGCCGAGAAATAAGTAATATGTGGCAGACTGTGTCAAAGACAGCGCTTAGATAGAGGAGCATCAAGATGTTTATCAACCCTGAATCGATGGAAAAAAGAATGTCGTTAACTACATGGAGAAGAGCTGTTTCAGTGCTGTGAGATGGGCAAAAACCTGACAGAAAAGGTTCGAAAAGACCATTTATATCCAAATAAAATTGCAGTTGCAAAACAATCTTTTTAAGGATTTTGCTTAAGACTGTTAAATTAGATATTGGTAGTTGTCCATGTTTAGAAGTCCTGTTTTTTTTTAAGAATGGGGGTCTCCACAGCCGTTTTTAGTTCTGCTGGGACAATGGCGGAAGTCAAACTACAGTTTATCATATGCGTTATGAGGGGTGCAACCTCAAGGACACACATCTTATCTTAATTAACTAGCTAGTCATAAACGTTTCCCAAAACTATAGTAACTTTTTCACACATCCATCTTTCTAACCATACTAACAAGAAACTATGCTTCTAACTGTAGGTTGTGAGCAGTAAACAACTTGGCGATGCAGTTTGCAAAGGTTCATTGGTTTTGGGAAACACTTAATCATTGAACTATTTTGGTAATTACTGAACTTGCGACCATAATTAGTTGGCTAACGATGTATTTGGGAAATGCATCCCAGACTGGAAGACCACGGCAAATTAGCTTAGGCTTTTTTAAGCAAGGTGGACAACCATTGAAATCCATGCTTGCATAAGCTGGTCTTTGCAGCAGCCTCCCCGTTAATTAATTACAATTAAATTATATTTACAGAGTAAATTGTAATTGCCTCTGACGTTAATTAAAGGTGTGTTTGTGTTAAGGCCACTAATCTATATAAATGACTACTCATGATGACATAAAAAAAAGTGAAGCCACCACGCCGTCATATTGGTATTCCCTGGTGTTCCATCACATTCTGTTGAAATAACAAGAACTCATCTCATTTTAATGAAACAACATACACTAACGAGTCAGGGTTTTTATATCTGTAGTCTCCCAGTACATTCTTACAACATCCTTCACGCTTAATATTTCCTGCACAAATGCATGCATAAAGGATTCTCTGTCGGATTTTAAAGCTGGTTTGAAACAGTCCATATTGCTAAAAGCGGTATATAAATGAGGGTGACTTGACTTTAATTTTCGGCAGTGTTGAGTAGACACCGATCCTAAACATTTGTAAATATTGCTTATCCTGCTCGAAAAGACCATAAAATTACAGATAAGTTTGAAGCATCAATTAATGTACATAGCATACATGTATCTTTCAAACGAATCATGTGCGACTGATACGATGCAAATCGGGTGATTTTAGATCAATGTTTTGGCTGCAAGTCAATTCTATCGTTAGGGAAACGCTCGAACATTTCTGTTGGCTTCACCGCCTGATGGCAGTTTAGAACACGACGAGCAATCCAGTCATTTATATAGATCAGTGATTATTAAGATTTGGAATTAACTTTTAGAAACAGTCGCCTAACTGCATTTTCTCTCCATGTGCTGAAGCTAACTGCTTATCAGTGAGTTCATAGACTGCATAGGCTACCTATGTGCACTACATTAAACCTTTTCCCTCGACTCAAAACAAGAACTTCCAAGTAGTGCATTAGCCTGGAATATCAATTAGCGTTGGGGAGTTAAAAATAAAAGTGTTCTGCGAGTCTTGTGAGGAGGGGAGGGGGGGACGTACAAAAGTGATAATTGAGTTCACAGTGCAAGGTGTCAGGGTGTACCCGCGAGAATTATCAGATTTAGCACTGGGGAAAATCACTGAAGTGATGGGGGTCAGAGAAGTTTTGTGTGTCTTCTGCTGGAAAGTTTGAAACAAAAAGGAAGTTACAAATCAAAGAGGAAGTGAGGAAAGTGAAGCAAGGAGTTAGTGCCTGGCTAAGGGAGTGGCGAAAAATAATACGTTGAAGGGGGAAGGGCGGACCTCCTCCAGTTACTTTGCCATCTTATCTAGTTGAAAACCATCGCAGCAGTTAGAGATAGCCTGAGGTCGTCTTCAAATATAATTTATTAGCTCTAGCCGCACCTGTTTACAAGGTGTGTTGCTCTTTTTCATGGTAGATTTGGATCAAATGTTTTCTTTGGCTTTAAAGTCAACATGATTTCAAAACGTATTGTTCTTTCATAACACAAGTTCCTGCTTTTACAGTATTCTGAATGATACTTTGATTAGCTTTAGGGTTTGAATATACTCAATATCCTGTTTTAGAAACATGTTATATTACGGAAGTAAATTAGAATAGCTGGCCAATGTCATTTAAATGTTGATTTTAAGAGAGACAGTTAATAAATATGATACATCAGGTCCTTCTGCCCATAAGACAGATGTTATTGCTGTGCCAAGTTTTCCTTCTTTTTTCTCCTTGACCATCTAGGAAAGCCTCATGGAAAATCTGGGCTACACAGGCCCTCACAACTCTTATAAACATACGCTAACAGCTAGAGGAGTGTATGTTTGAGCTCCAGGGTCTGGGGTGAGCCTCTGAATGAGATTACTCAATAAGCACTCATCTCTGAAATGGCCCACATGTGCTGCAGCTTGAGTGCTGCCAATCTCCTCTGGTTCTGCCAGCAAAGAGCAGAATTTCAAAAATGACACCCCTCGCCCTGCGAATTCACTCACTGGCACGCGTCTGATAAGGCAAGGGGGATCAGCGCAGTCACCGAGTGATTGAGTCAGAGTGGCAGCAAAGGGTTTTAAGCAATGCTCCATGGTCTTAAGAAAGTCTGCCTGAATGGGTTGTCAGGGTTGCCATAGGGAGAAACACAAGCATTATAGGAGCGATGATGCTCTGAATGTTGATAATAGGAGAAAATCTTGGTGACTCGTGTGTTAAATAGACAATGTTGACTAAGATGACAGGGTTGGGCTAGAACACTAAAACACTAAAAGCTTTTGCACTACAGTAATGTGTCTAGACTGTTGAACGCAATCCTTATACAGGAAAACAGGACTCTAAAACGTCTGGTTAACGCAGCATATTAAACCATAATGAAAATACAGCAACAGGCAGAAGTGTCAAGCTCACTCAAACAGATTTTTGGGTCAAGTGGATTTTGTATTGACAAAAAGGTCACAGTTGTTAGTCTTATATCTATCTACAGTATATAGTATATATATATATATATATATATAAGTTTGAACCCAGGTATACTATCTAATTCTTCAAGTGAAGATAGAAAATGTATTTAAAAGTATTTGGTCTTTGGTCTTGTCTTATCTTACCTCGGGCAGGATGTGAGCCAACACTACTGCTGCCCCTTCAAAAAATAAATAATTAAAAAATAGCTACATGATGCCCATGGCCTCATGAAACATGCTTGTAAGATGTTCCAAGGCAAGTTTTCCATAGCACCGCAAACACTCCTTCCCCACAAAATAAATTATCTATGTATCCTCACTCTTGAAAGTTTCATTTCCAGCTGCCGGAAAAAGCGGTTTCATTCAGGCTTAAAGGGATATTTAACCCAAAAAGGAAAATTCTGTCATCAT